AGGCAGGTTATCGCAGGAAGCTGGAAAAGCGCGACAGGAAGCAATAATATATTGAGCCATAGGAAATGACACGCCGAAGATATTGAAAATCGCTTCCCCTACCAAAAAAATGTCCTTGCAAGCGGTCGAGGATATTCAATCACAATAGAGACTCAAAGGCAATTGAAAATTGTGAATTATGAAGTAGCTGGCTAAGACTTTCATTTATGGGATATTATTTATTACCCTGTGCATAAGATGCATTAAATTAATCTGATATAAGATTTTAAAAGGCTTCTGGAAAATGTAATTACACCCGAATGGCAATCGATGTCTTAGTTTAAAATTGATATATACTGATTTTAAGTGTGGCGAAACCCTTCGAAGATTAGATAACATCTCGAGGCCATAAAGACCGATCGCTACCATTTTTCCGATGGGAGTATTTATGTAGCTAGGACAGTTACGAGCGTAACAAGCCATAAAACTTTCACCAATCGACCGATAAACATCAATGGTGGATATTTGCCTCAATGGACAACAGGGGCAGGGCAACAGGTAGACAAGTAGACCCGGCAGCCCACCGCTTTATGATCGCCATAAACCGATTCGAAAGGCTGGAAAAGGTTTGAATTACCCAAGTTCGAGTACATCGATACTGATACCGAGCGGGATATATATTCGAAAGCATGACCGATCTCTAGCCGATGATCAGACGACTGTAGCCGCGGCACCACAGAAGCAGTTTAAATCGGGAAAGATCATAAATCCGAGAAACTTTTACGAGTGCGTGCGATTTTTTTACGACTTTATTAGATGTCGTGTTGAATGAGGAATGGGAATGGAAGAAAATGCTAGAGTTAAGAGATTTTAAACAGTAAAAATATTATAAAGGCTGGGTCTAGATAATCAAGTATAGACTCCGATTTAATGATGGCTTCGATTTCAAAGTAAGATTCAGTTTGAAAATAAATCATAATTCCCTCGAGGCGATTATCCCCCCCCGTTTGCCACTTTCACCCCCCCTGGAGGTAAAGTTCTCTTGTAAAGACATATTTTTCGCAACGCCTACACAAGGATCGCCGTACGTTTTGAATCTGCAAAAACATCGGGCCAAAATCGCAAAAGAGGCAACAACAAGGCGGCGATGACGCCCCTCTAGGGACAATATTTATAACTTTTCTGGCGCGTCTCAATTCATTTGGGTCCCTCTGCTCTGCTCTGCTCTGCTTCTTTCTCCGATTTTTGCCAGAGTGTCTGCCACCTACGTAAGCGTATAATTCGTTTAGCGTCAAAAGGCAGCCCCGGCAACAAAAACAGCCACACAAACTTAATCAGTCACTTTAACACCCAGCAGCCGCCACTTACACACCGTCGAAAGAGATGGCCTTATGCGGCGCAGAAAGAGATGGCCGAAGAAGTGCGTGAGCGTTGGGAAAGAGACGGCAAACGTTCGGTGGAGAGGGCTCAGAAGACAGAAGACTGGAAGACTGGAAGACCTGGAGATGGAGACGAAAAAAGGAGAAGGAGACGGCGACTGCGTCTGTCATGGTCGATATTGCGTTGACACCAAATTTGCATTAAAATGCAATTGTGAACGCAGATCTCGCGATGGGTCTCGTCTGGTCCCGCATTTGGATCGGTTTGGTTCGGTTCGGTTTGTCACACTGCAAAAAAATATGTTATAGTCTAAAAAAAAAAAAAAAAAACTTGTCAAAGAAATGTGATATAAAAAAAAAGTGTTTGCAATAATACAAATAATAAAATCTCTAAACATTTCAATATTACATAGCCATTTACATTTGATTTTTCATTTTGTTAGCATGAATGAACAACAAATTTCTGCCAGTGCACTTGCTCGGGTAGTGGGTAATGCATCTTTAGTGTCTATTGAGCAGGACATTAGTCACGTTGATGCTCGTGGGCAGGGGGGAGGAGTGGTGGGGCTGGTGGGGAAATGCCACAGACACAGCGCTGCGAAATATCAATTAAATCGCAGAAAATAGAAAGTGAATTCTTTTTGGCCAGTCAGCCACGCTTTGATCTTGTCTTGCCTGGTTCAGGATCCTCGGAGAGTCGCGAATCGGCTCGGAATCGAGATCGGAATGGGGCGAAAACGGGAAAGGAGGGAGATCAGCTTTGACTGACTTGCAACACCTATTAAAAAAAAAGTTTTGACACTTCGCAAAGTCGCGCCATCGAGGCAATAAATTAATTACAAAATAGCCGGCAGAGAGAAATATGCAGAAGAAAGCCCTGAAGAAGAACGGGATTGCATTTGGGGATTTTCAAATTTTATGGCCATGTCTTTGCGCGATTCGCCAAAGGTGGGTGTGTGTGTGTGAGTGTGTGTATGTGCGTACACTCCAAGTAGTCGAAAAAGAAAAAAATTTGAAAAACTGCGAGCATGTGTGTGGGCGTCTCTTAGTACTCCCTCACTAACTTCGCAGTCCCCCATCTCTCCCATTCACTTTTTTTAGGTCTTTAACACAACCAAGAAATTTAATTTCTGCACATAGAACAAATTTACTGCTTTATATTATGTATTTTTCTAAAAATATTTATTTATTAATTATTAAAGCTTGTATGCAAAGAACTTCAAATGTAAATGATGAACCTATTACACTGCTTATCAAAGAATCAGTTGGTAATAATTTTCTCTATCTGGAAAAGAGTCCAATTCTTAGTGATAGTTTCCTTTCTCCCCTTTTCCCTTGGTTAAATTCCCCTTTTTGCTGATGATCTTGCTTGCGCTTGAAGGTTTTTTATGGAGTGTTTGCTAGCTTGTTGTTGGCAGACAACTCAGCCACTAGGCTTGAAAGTTAAAGCAGCAGCTGAAGACTGCAAAAGCTTCCTCTTTGCTGTTGCCCCCCTTCACCTCACCCTCTAAACTTTTGCAGCCTCCGTCCCTGCGAAAATGCAACCTGCTGCCGCTTTCAATTATTCACACATCATCAATGGGCCAAGCATAAATGTATAAATATATATATGTATGTATGTGTATGAAGTATACTGGATATGTGAACACAGAGAGCTGATTTGGCTGAAAGCGCTGCTTGGCCACAATTCATTGGATGCCATCTGGCAGGCGACCTTAACCCTCCTCTGCCTCCTTAACCCACCGTACGTCGCCGCTTGGCGAACGTGTCTGCATATTGTTTCGTTCATGTCAAATTATTGACCCATGCCAGGCATTTTGAAATGTTTATGCGTTTTCATGACTGAGATGTGCAATTGATAAATCCCCAACTGGAAATTATGAATATGCAACGTGCCGGAGTGAATTTTGCTCAGTGCCAGTGCCTTCAAGCTTCCAAATTCTCCAGATCCCCTCGAATCCCAGACTCAGAAGAAGAAGTTGAGGAGGAACCACCCGCTGACTTTTGTACCAGGTCGGTAGCCATCGCTAGGCATGTTTATGCGAAGGAATTTATTTACAAATTGGAGGTTTATGTGCTTATAATAATAAACAATAACGAGCTGATCGGTGAGTTGAGTATAAATAAAAAACCTACTGCAAATCAATATTTTCACAGTATATTTACTATTGTTTCTCAATATTCTCAGTTAAACTTAGTATAAAATTCTTTTTTTTTTTTGCCACAAAAATCCTGCATAAACGAAGCACTAGGACGTCAAAAAAAAAGTATGTGTCTCGCATGATGTGTCAAACCTTTGCACCGCGCATCTGCAACTTCGAATCCCACTGTGCACTGTTGCCATTCGTTTGTTATCAGCAACAAGCGATCAATACAGCAGCAATCAATATGGTCAATAAAGTTCAGGCCCGACTTTGGGGAGGGGATGTGGGACGTGGGATGTGGGCTGGGGCTCTATACGATAGAGGGGATCTTAGCTTTTGGGACCCCAGAGGGAAGTTTTCTGTCCGCCCGAAGCTGCGATGGCAAACAAGGCAACGTGATGTACAGCGCTGAAACCCAAGAAGCCTGGCTGCTCACAGGCAACACACACAGTGTGTTGCATATGGAAATGGTTAAGATTGGCTGGGGACGCAGGGGAGCTGCGACAGTGGAAGGGGGAAGGCAGCGGGACACTGGGACATTGGGCGTCCCGTCACCGGCTCTTGTTGTCACTGTTGTTGTCGCTTGATCGCAAATTTGCCATGGCAAGCTTGACAACTTGCAACGAGCCAGAAGAAGTGCAGTGAGAAATATACTCTTCTACAATAAACATAAAAATAACAGGTTAAATAAAACCATTTTGATGCTATTTGTATGATTAAAATAAATTCTCATTTGATTTTGCAAAGGAACCAATTGAAAATGGGTTAACTATATTACAATTCAATATATTAAGCCATATGTTCTTTAAAATATTTGAGATAAAAATAAATAAATGTTGTAAATAACCCATAGTAAGTTCATGGTATGGAATATTTTCTCGGTGTTGCTAGCCGGCAATCTGGCAAGCAGTAAGGCAGCGAATCAAAGAACCAAAGTAGCAAATGCAGTCGCAAAAGCCGGCACCTTAAAATAATGTTACAAAACTTTTTTTGGCATGTTGCTAAGTCCGGCGGCCCTGTAACCAGTTCGAAGCAACGCCATGCCAGGCCAGGCCCAAACCAAAAGCCCCGATCCGGATCTCCGATCCTCGATCCCCAATCCTCACTCCTCGGCAACGGCAACGGCAACAACAAATTGAAGATCACGGTTTTCATGTACTACATGCAAATTCATTGCTACTGTTGCTCCCTGTGATTGCGCCTGCCCGAAACACTGAGGCAACTGAGAGGCTCTGCAGCTCTGGAGATCTGCGCTACTGTATCCATAACCATAAAGCCAGGCCAAGCCAGTAGCAGCCGGAAGATCGGCAAGTAAAATAAACAATTCCGAAACAACCAACTTGCTTGCTAACTCGCTGAGCAAAACCGAAGTTCAACCGAGAGTCATACACCCAACAAAGCCGCAGCAGGGAAATTAATGCGCTACGCATTTTATTTTCGGGTATTTAAATCATTCACCAGTAAAAAAAATTAAATATATATTTTGTTAAGTTCTTACCTTAATGAATTTTTTAAAAATCAATGTAAATCCTTCAGGCGCAAGTCCTCTTGCTTAATCTGAAAAATATTAAATTGATTATTTAATTGTATGCAATTGTGTCAATGATAAACTTATTATCTCTGACTAGTTTTATTTCAACAACAAAGTTTTTACAAGTCCATGTACCCATCGGACTGAGCATAGTTCCTCTTGCATTATGCAAAGTAGATAAAACTCTTAGATCGGCGGCCTCTGTTCGACTATCGAGTATTCGTCGCCTTTTTTTTAAGGGAAAACAATTTGCAACGGACAGGAAATCGTAGACGCCTTCTCCCTGGACCCTTTCCCTTCATAAGAATCCCTAACAAAGCACGTGGCGCCTCAGTGCAGAAGCACAAACTAAAAAAAGAAGCTACAAAATCTCAGTCAGCAGCGAAAGAGTGTCTTTTGTGGCGCCATCGGATATATGTCATTTCTAACACTCCCACTCCGAATCGCGGAATTGAGACCCAATCGATTGGCTTGGCGACAAATTTCGCTGGAATTTGTACAAATTGAGAACCGAATGTATCGGATTTCGGCGACGCGTCTATCAGGCACCCACAAGGGATTGCTTTTGGAGCACTTTCTGTAAACACTTGCACTCAGGTTTCGCATTTGCAATATTTGTAACTGGGACACTTGCTCTTCTAGCTGTTTTCAGCCGACGACTGTGGAAAGCTCATAGCTGTTGGAAACTAGAACAGTTTACTGTCAAAGGAAATCGATACACGATAGAAACGATCGATTTTATCGATGTTATTACACGAAACCCAGGGCTGAAAACTTCAAGACAGTTGAAAAGCTTTCTTGTTTAACATTAGCAAAACTCTAATTAAAGTGAATAAATCATATTGATCTAGAAACCCTTTACTCAAAACTTAGTTGTGGCTGTGTTCTTCGCAGAATTCCCAGAAGAAACTGACCGTTTTGGTCATCTTTTGGGCCTGGGTCAAAACTTCATCCCAGCGATTTGCATGGCGTTCACTGTTTACACTCTCCGGAAACGCGGGCTGAGAAATTTGTAATAGGCCGGCTTGTCCCGACCCAAAAACTGACTGAAAAACTCAAACATTTCCTGTGCTTGTCTTCCCAGGTAGCGCGCTCTCGAAAGATTGGCCTTAAAAATTATTTATATTTTTTGTTAGAAAATCAAACAATTAACCTCGAACTTGCTGTTGCCGCCGCTGCTGCCGCTCTGCGCTTACAACATGTTTGAGACATAAAAATTTCCAATTAATTTTTTCACCGGCTTGTTTTTTTTTTTTTTTTTTTGTTTTAGTGGCCAGGCAACTTCCACGGAATGGGATAAACGAAAAGACAGAAAAAATTGTCACAGCCGCCGTTTACAAATAATTTTTGTGGCTGCTCGTTTTTCGGCTCTTTGGGGTTTTCAATGGAAACGAAACACATAAAACATGGCCAAACATGACCGGGCAAATGGAGAAGCGGACGGATTGGCTGCTGACGAAATGACAGTCGAAGCGACCGGAATGACATAAAAAATAAAATATAATAAAAGGGCAAACACTCAAGGAGAGCGTTTGCCGAACGGGAGCAATTAAAAGTTTGCTTTGATTGACCCTTTCTGAACCGCCAATCCACATTTACTCAATGCTTATGTTTTTAGGACTACTTTAAATTTGAAATACAATGTACGAAGTGAAGTTTCTCTTCCGGAACTCAACAAGTATAAATTCTATTGGGTTTAATTAAAATGACCGATTAAAGACCTATATCTGAGATATATTTCCAATTGATTTTCATTAGTTATGAGGGAATTATTTGCCCTTTTCCCCTTGTGAGCAAATAACCCACATGTTGGCCATGTGTGCCCTGCGATGACAAAAAGTTCATTAGAGTCGGCTCAGTGGGCAAAGCAGTGGACACTCCAGTGAAAAAAGCACATCCGGTGCGGGGTGGTTGTTGATTTCTGGGCGCCTGCTGGGCTTTATGGCTAATAAATATTGGATCATATATATTTATAAATAATAATGTGCTCGAAGAGCTAGGACAGTTTGCAGATGTGCCTTGGGGTTAATGAAAAATAAAATACTTCAAGTCCAAGCCCGCAATTTACCCAAAACCGACAACGTCACAAATGTGTGAATGTAATTTAAGCAAATATTTTAATTGTTTTCCGTCCCGGCGCATTTTATTGTCTTTTCTGAAAAGACGGCACCTGCAAAACACTCACATGTGACGACGATTTTTGGGCGTCTTGACAATGGGCGTGGGCAAATTTTATCGCTTGGAAAGTTTTCAATTTCCAAATTAAACGTCTATGGTTATGGAAATGAAAATTTTAATGCGCTCTTCTGCTCCACAAAAAAAAGAAGAAACTAAGGGAGTGCAGTAGCGGAATCAAAAGTCCACTCATTGACAAATGTTGCCCCTTATTAAAACTAACAACCCGCAACAAAACGGGCATGTCGAACCCCTCAATCTTGAAAGGTTCTCTCTCTCGTTTCTTGGTTGTAAAAAGGACATGTTCCACTTTAAAATAACAATTTCATTCAATTTTTGATCATTTGCTACCAGAAATGGCAAATCAAAAAGCCATAAAAACCGACAAACGACCAAAACCGACAAAGAATAAAGCCCAAAAACCAAAAGTGAACCAAGCGAGTGTCCCGTTTTGTCGTCCTGCCGTGTGTCGAAGTCCTTGATCCCCAAGCATTTTCAAGGGGCTGCTTTTTGTTCTGGTTTTTGCCTGCCAACCCAGAAAAGTTTATTCCCTTTTAGAAGAGGTTTGCAAGATAATGGTTTATATTTTACAATATACTTTTCAGCTTAGTAAGTACTAATAATAATTTGTTTTTTATTTGGTTCAATTAAGAATTGAGAATTTTTCTTTTCTAATATATATATAACATACAAGTATACTTTACTATTTTATTAGGTTTAAGGTTTGAGTAGCTATTACTGGTGTTTAGAATTTTTCTTTTCTAAAATATATATTATTTACTATTTTAGCGACACATATTTATACAGTACTATTCTGTTATTGAGCAAGGGAATTGCAAAATTCGGTGTCAAACATTATTTTCACCTTCTGGCTCTTGTTTTTATACCCTTGCAGAGCAAAGGGTATTATAATTTTGGCCAGAAGTTTGCAACGCAGTGAAGGAGACACCTCAGACCCCATAAAGTATATATATTCTTGATCAGCATCACGATCTGAGTCGAAATACGTCTGTACGTCTGTCCGTCTGTCCGTCTGTCCGTCTGTCCGTCTGTCCGTCTGTCTGTCTGTCCGTCTGTCCGTCTGTCCGTCTGTCCGTCTGTCCTCCTGTCCGTTTCTGCCTAAACTAGTCTCTCAGTTTTAAAGCTATCTTGCTGAAACTTTCCCAAAAGATGTGTAGTTATTGCACGCAGTATATAAGTCGGAACGAGCCGGATCGGCCGACTATATCGGATAGCTCCCATACAAGAGGTCAAAAAAATAAAGGACAAAAAATTATTACTCCGTTGTTTTTGATCAGATCGACTTGAATTCTTCAAGATGGCGTTTTCTAACGGTTATTAAATTTCGGATTAAATTTTATCAAAATCGAATAACCCTATCATATAGCTGCCATAGGAAAGATCAAAAAATATATATAGAAATAATGGCAAAATAATTATAACGTTGTTGTTTTTTATTCCACGAGCATGATTTTTACAACATCGACTTTATGAACTACCCTTGACCCGAGAAAAAAATTTCATCAAAATCGGACGACTATATCATATAGCTGCCATATGAACAATAGTCGAAAATATGGAAAATTAATAGAAAAGTCGTCATAGCTTCGATGTTGTTAGCCTTTATGTATTTTGTTCGATATGTTTGATGACTGCAAGGGTATATAAGCTTCGGCTTGCCGAAGCTAGCTTCCTTTCTTGTTTTTGACTGCCTTGTGGTCTCAGTGGGTTGATGGGCGGGCGGGAGTCAGGGTCGTTGGGTCGTCGCTCGTTTGGTTTTAAAATTGAAACCCGCAGCCCGTCCCCTTACACTTGTGATTGAGTTTTCCGCCCCGCATTTTTGTCCGATTTCTTGGATGACGGCCAGGCACAAATCCTGCACGCAAAATTTATGTTGCATAAAATTTCTCAATGAATTTTGTACGAAGTATTTGCCTTGGACTCTTCTTTCCGTTGGCTGTCTTCTCAAATTTTAAAACGACTTCTGTGTGAGCTGCACGTGGCATATGGAGCGTAAAGCAGTCGGATTGCGTATTTCTTTGCCATCCCCCAATGGATTGGTCGATGTCCTAGAGTCCCAGTGCAACCACCAATTCGTTAACGTATCGAATCGGGCGATTTGAACAGGTCAGTTGGCAAGGGGTTACTAGTTCCAGTGCCTGTAAGCTACTCCCTTGATTTCGAGCGGTAATCATGATCATGTAACAAAAATTATACCTACTAAATACATAAACAGTCAGGTGGAAGAAAGGTAGGATTCACATAAAAGTAAATTCACTGAAAAAAAAATATTATCACTTCTGTATAAAACCTCAAATTCTCAGTAACGGCATTTATTGTGCAAAGAAACGGGCTTAAAATGTTATTCGAAAAATTATATGTATTGTTAAATCTAGAATTCAAAGGGTTAGATAATTATCTTTTTTAGTGGACCTTTGGGTGCGGCAACAACGTTGCAAATTTAGCGCTCCTACACTTATTGCATTTTGCTGTTAAGCAAAGTGAGCACAAGTGGCCATCTTCGAGGACTTGTCGCAAGCCTCCACTGGGGGAATCCAATATCTTTCCCCTCCAGCGACTTGTAACGAATTTGTCGCTGTCCATTTGCCAGTTATTCTGTTGTTGGCCAGAAGGTGTGAACACCAACAACAAACAGCGGTCTAAATTTAGAGCCAACAATGCGCAGACAAAGGTGCATTCACAAGATAAATCAAAATTTGATGCAGCCGAAAACACGAAAACCTGGGGACCACCAGCGTCAGATAAACAAGAGAGACCACAAATCGGGGTCGGGGTATATATCCCTTATATATACCTTCAGCGATCGGTGGTTAGTTAGGTAGCCTAAGCC